TTTGTTTTCTGTTTGTCTGCACAACATCACACATTTATTAATAATGATAAGGCTGTTTTTTTAAATCTAAATCATGTTTATGACCAGCCTGTCAGAGTCAGATAGATTTTTTTGTCTATACTGTTAGCAAAATATTTCATGAACCAGTGGATAGCTTTTAACAAAACACAAGAATTGTCATAACACAGTCAGTTTAACCGATATCAGCACCAACCACTGCACATCGGAGACCTTGAGGTTGAGAGGGTGAGCAGCTGTAGATACCTGGGCGTCCACCTCACTGAGAACCTGACCTGGACTGAGAACACAACAGGTCAGGCTCAACAGAGACTCTACTTCCTGAGGAGACTAAGGAAGTTTGGCATGTCAACAAGGATCCTCAGGAACTGAAACAGCTGCTCAGTAGAGAGCATTTTGACCAGCTGCATCACAGCCTGGTACAACAGTGCCACCAGTGCTGGCTCCAGCCATTTTGGTGCCCTAGGCGAGTTGAAGCACAACCCCACCCCAATTTGAACCCCCTAAAAACAAGTTTGACAGTGTAAGGTACAATGGTAAACTTAGATTTATTTGCTTTCCCAGAAAGCAAATAAATAACAACATACATGTCAACTTGTACAGATTGTCCATAAGTTATAAAGATTTTTACGTCATTTTGCAGGTATACGGACGTAAAGAGCAATTTCGCTGATTTTTTTCAAGTCTTACGGATTTTTTCAAAACCTCATTTTCAAAATTTTCTGTATCTGTAGAATGATTTAAAAAACAATAAATTACATCAAATAGCCATCTTCCAACCGCTAGAAAAAAGTTTTGAACTTTTTCCGCTCTCCTTTCCTCTTGCTTTGCAGCAGACACTTTCACGTCCTCAGCGAGGTTGACAACCCTCCCGCAGGTGCGAGTTGTGTGGATTTTTTGCCAAATTTACAGATTTTTTGGGCATTTTATACAGGTAAACATCCAAAGAGGCTGGCATGTATGGGACAGCAAAATACAGACTTGTTGTTATTGAGTTTGTCAACACGAACCGCTACCTGAGAGGCACAACTCGCCCCTTCCCCTGTCAGAGTGTCGGAGCAGGACGAGTCAGTGCAACGTCAATCAAATGAGAGAGAGGGTGGGGGCCATTGCTGCATGGGGGGGGATGTTTTATGGGTAGAGTAGTTTATTTTTCCTGTAATACTTCATTATAGTTCTTTAAGACAAAGCTAACTGAAAGGGGCGCTGAGCAGAGTTACAACCAGGGATTACAAATAATTACTTTTTTTCTTTTGCAGTTCGATGCCCCCCTCCAGCAGATGGCGCTCTAGGTGACCGCCTAGTTCGCCTATGCCAAGAGCCGGCCCTGGGCGCCACCGTTATGGACCGCAAACGCCTGCAGAGAGTGGTAAAAACTGCTGAGAAGATCACAGGGACTTCACTGCCCTCTCTGCAGAGCATCTACCACTGCAGGGTTCACAGGAGAGCAGCCTCAGTCATCAAAGACCCAACCCACCTCCACCATGGACTGTTCACACATCTGCCCTCCGGCCGGAGGTACACAAGTGTGACATGCAGAACCTCCAGATACAAGAACTCATTTTCCCCAAGTGCCATCAGACTTTTAAACAACTGAATGTGACATTCTTCTGACTATTACTGCACATGTGCACATTTCAGACTGTTACCTGCTGCACATTTGCACATTACACTTTAAAACAGATTCCCAGTTCCCTTCTTGTTGTCATTATTATATCATTCCCTTCCAATGTTATTATCCTTAGTTTAGTCTCCTCTTTTATCTAATCAACATTGTTTGTGTCCTTTCGGTGATGATTCGTTTCTTTTGTTAATATGGTTATCTGTTGGCATTCAAAATGGACGACAAAGTAAGAATTTCATTGCTCAGGGAAAACACGTTTTCATCTGTGCACATGACAATAAACACTTTGAGTCTTTGAATCTTGAATTGAGATATTGAGCTCAAACTTGGTGTGGTAGTGGCTGAGAGTCATCTTCAACACATATGTGCTAATAGTTTCTGAAAGTGCTCCTAATATCACATATTACCACAGAAACAGCTTTCAATGAGGTCAGTGCTTTTAAAGGAATTGAGGAAATCTCAGTGTATTTCTTTTGGAGAAATATTTATAATTAATGTGAACGATTTTAAAATGTACAAAAGCTGCAAAAACCAAAAGTCACAGCACCTATCTCAAGAAGAATGGACCCTTTTAATATACAAAAGGGTAAAAATAGCACAATGTTTGTAGAAACTGAATGCCGAAAAATAAGTTTACACAACTTTGAAAACTCAAAAATAGTCAAATATTTGTAATATATGTTTCTGGTTTTAATTATACAACCATCACACCATGCAGTTCATGAATCCACCAGTTTAAACGTGAACAAAACAACTTTCAAACAAGACGCTGTTTTTAAATATTTTACTGTCTTCACAACAAAGATAAACCAATGTAGAAAAACTCTGCAGCAAGACAACCTGAACTTCAAAATTCTCTCACATCTCCCCGATCCTTTCAGAGCTTCACTGGCTCCCTGTTCATTTTCAAATCAAGTTCAAAATCCTGGTCCTGACTTTCAGAGCTCTCAATGACCAGTCGCCTGACTACATTAACAGTCTCATCTCCCCTTACAAGCCCAAACACAGCCTACGCTCACAGGATCAACATCTCCTAATGGTTCCCCACACACGTCTCAAGACCCGTGGTGACCGAGCCTTCTCCTCCATGGCCTCCAGGCTCTGGAATGAACTTCCTATCCATCTGCGCATGCTTGAAAACATTGATTCATTCAAGAAACATCTGAAAACACACCTCTTTAAACAAGCTTTTAACTAACCAATTTCAGCATTTTTCTGCAGCCTGACCTTTTAGTGCCTGTTTCACCAAACCCTACCTACTGACCGTACAATTCATCATATCAATGTGTGTCAAATAGCCAGTATTTTCATCCAAAATCAGTTCACTTTATCAAAAATGTATTTTTCTAAAGTGTACCAGTTAGGGTTGGGCATAATCGTATCGTGTGCAATTAATCGTCAGAAAAATATTAATCGATTATTTTTTTTGGCATTTGACAATTAATACGATTAATGCCAGCAGGCAGTCAGTTCGCTCGGTGCTCCTCTCCGCTTCAAATATGACGAACATTAAAAAAAAGTTCTGTAATTTATTAATCTAACAGCACAATTTACATTTTGATGTACAGCCTGAAGTCTGTAATTTTGACACAATTTGGAACAGATTTTTACGAAGAGAAAATCTTTCCCACTAAATTGATCATGTGACAATGACATAAGGATGTTCTGGGACTCCAGGGGATTAATCGTCAAATTAATCGTTACCGGCTAAATACCACAACTAATTGTGATAAATTGTTTTGCCAATATTGCCCAACCCTAGTACCAGTACTCCACAATCTACCCATTCGGTGACCTGCCTCCAAATTAATTTATGATTTAAAAATCCTTCATCTTAATATGTTAATGTGTTACTCTGCCCTTTTTGTCTAGATATTATTTACTTGTTTTATTTTTTCGGATTGCACAGTCTTGATACTTTGGTGGTTGTACAGCTTTTTATCATTTTTGTCCCAAATTTTTATATATCCTGTTCTGATTGTATATCTTCTGATTTCCCTCTGATTGTACAGCACCTTGTGAATCTATTTCTATGAAAGGTACTATAAATAAAACTTTACTTTACTTACTTAGAAACTTACTGAACTGACTGATAAAGAAAGCAGAATGAATTGCCACAAATGGTCTGCGTTCACATTAATGTAAAATGAACCTCTGCTCACACATTCAGCTTTCACCTTAAAACACACCGAAGCCTCTTCTTTCCCCAGCAGCTCATTTATCAGCTCCTCAGCTTTGATCTTCAGAGTCGCGTTGAGTTGAGTTCAGCTAAAAATGTTGACGCTTTTGTGTGTTTTATTGATATTGTTTGAGTGTTTTAAATAAGTGCAACTGTTTTAGAAAACCAGGCATGCGAGAGCTTGTTCTTTCCAGTTGGTATTGATTCCAAACTGATAAAAGGCGTTCGAGGTTAGAGACTCAAAGCTTTATTCTGTTCTCATTCTCTTTATTTTTTTTAGTTCAGGGAAAATAAATATGTTCTGGTTCACTTATGGTTGAAAAGACGTGATAAATGAAGAGATGACCTTGCAATTGTGTGCTTTTTTTATCATTAACTTTACTTTCTTTAAATCAAAACTTTCAAGCAGACAAAGAAAATGACACATTTCAAAGTTTTATAGGAAAGTAATATAACAAAAGAGGATTTCTGTTCTGAAAATAATTTTAAAGTAAACAAGTTTAGGAAGAGACTGATCAAGTTTTATTTTAATAAATTTGTGATTTTTTTGTCATAATGTATTATGTTTTAATTAATTTGTTTGTTTTATGTACTGAGGCTTATTTAACAGCATTTTTATGTTATGTCTTGGAATTTATGAGTTTTTATTAGGCTATTTATTGGTTTTTTTGTAATTATTCTTTATTTTATTTTATTATCTTTTTGTTTTTGATGTTACATCTTAATTTGTTTCTGTGTTTTCTTTTGTGATTTGGTTTATTTTGTGAGGTTTTTTTTGTCATATCACCGTATATGGATTATGTTTTATTTATGTGACTTCTTTAGTTTGTTATGCATTTGTTTAATGCGATTTGTGTTTGGTTTGTTTGTACGTTTTGATAATGTCTTGTAAAATGTACATTTTTTACGCTTGTTGTGCTTTAATTTCTCGTTTTGCGGTGGTGTTTTCTCATGTTTTGTCACAAGTTTATCTAGTGTCAGTCAGTTGTGCACCTTCCTGTGGTTCAGTGTGACTCATCCCACCCACGTATCCAGCTGTTCCAGCGGTTCCGGGCCTGTACGTGTCGGGTTTAACCGAGCTGCTCTCCTTGCACGTCTCCTGTTTGTGCACTCTGGAGTAAAAGCGTGCATCACCTCTCCCATCTGCTGGGCTAACTGCGCTGCGCATGCGCAGTGGCTCTCCATCATTTCCAATATTCCAGTGTAGGAGAAGCAGCAGAGGCACAGAACTAATGGGTAGGCTTCTTTTTCTTCTTTTTCTCATCCTCAGAAAGGTTTCGTTGTTGCTCTATTTTGATCTCCCAGCGCCGGGACGCACCCGCCGGGGTGTCCGGGTAAGTAGGGACAGTTTGCGGTTTTAATTAGGCTCAGACAGGAACGATAGAGGCTGAAAAAGCCTCTTCATCTGCAGCGGGCTAGCACGGCTGTTAGCTAGCATGCTAGGCTAACCAGTGCTAACTCGGCCTGGCCCTGGCCTCTGCCTGGCCCCCCCTTTGGCTCGAAACCTAACGCGGGCCTAGCTAATGTATTTTTTTTCCTTCCCCTCCTCGACATTTTAAAACCGGAATATGTCCTGCATGACCTCAGCGTGCACAAACCCGGTTCCGGTTCGGTTATTGACGCAGCCGAGCTCGCCGTCTGATGCACATTCGTTACAACAAGCTCAGTAACGGTAGCTCGACAGCTGACGCTTGGCTGCTAAGCCTCCAGCTAGTTCTGAAGCTGTGTCCAATGCATCAAAAAGCAGTCGAACCGGACCGATTCGGCTCGGTGACATGGTACCTTTTGCTGTTTGCACTCACAGGGCCACGAACCGTGGAAACCGAACCCAGAACAGAAAAGCAGCTAATGTGCCTTTTTTTTGTGTGTGTTTTTGTGTTTTGTCTTTTTACAAAAGAAGCTCACAGCTGATGGGCTGGTTTATTTCTTATTTGTGCACCTTTGGCCTTTTTTAAAACGATGAATACAAACACATCATATTCTCTAGCTTCGAAGAAAGGCTTGTTTTTAATGCTGTTCTGTCTAGCTGTCACCTCTGACAATTATGACGGTTTATTTATGAGGTTCCGGCTCAATGTGTGCTGAGATTTGCAGGATTTCATGTATAATATGTGGAGTCAGATGTATGGCACAGGTCATTATGAGGAGATTAGGACAATTTAGTGAACCTTATCAGTGTTTTTGCCTTTTTTGTTTTCACAAAACCCGAATAAGTTGTGCTTTTTGAGCAGTAACAAAAATATGTGCAGAAACAAAATAGCCAATACGTCTGATTTTACATAAAGGTACTCACTGCAGTTTAATAAAGATCAGTCAAAAAATCATAAGGAAACAAAATCCACACGTTTTTGTCTCATGTTGGTGGTTAATCTGTTCTTAATTAAAAATTTGTAATCAAAATTCGTGAAGATGTTTCAGCTGCCGTGTGAGTTTGTTTACTCATGGTGACAGTCAAAGTGGCTAAAAGAAGACAAAGTCAACATTCGTGGCCGATCAATTTGCAATCAGTTTTGATGTGACTGCGTTTTTACATCGAGATTAGCTGAGTAAAATATCAAGAGCCAAGTGTTTTGTTTGCATTGAGTGCATACCTGCATTTCTGAATATCAATATATCTGGAAAACTACTGGAAGAAAGAACATCTTTCAAATTGCACCACATAATAAACGTTTTATGTTAGATTTTAAAGTGTGTGATGAATATTTTTAAGTATAGATAGATGTGTTTACATTTATGTTAAAATAACTAAATTGGCTTGTTCTGACCTGTCAGATCTGTAAAATGATCAAATGATTGAAATTCAATAAACCCTTCTTGAAGATTTACTATATTTTTTTTAGCTAAATCTGTGCTTATTTGGCAACTAAATTTATCATGTTCAGCTATTTACAAATTCCATTTTGAATTGATTTATGTCTAAAGGATGGATGTTGTATTATTAGTCATTGAACCTTAAAGGGGTCCATGATTAGTTTTAACATTAGACTTTATTTAATAAACATATATTTTAACTGTAAAATAAAGACTGTAAAAATACTGTAGGATGTTTAGTTTTTATAATTTTTAAATAAAAAATTTAAAAATATATTACATGGACGTGGTCATTTTATTTACACACAAAGCATTCTGGGTAAATGATGATGTGGATAGGTCCTCGGTGCGAGGCTGCTAGCGAGCTATATCCACCCTGAAGGTTAATCTTGGACAATATCTGATGATCGACTCTTTTAAATGAAACCAGAGAGCGTTGACAGAGAGGAGAAGGTAGAAATGACTCAGCCTGGAACTGAAAATATAGATGGAGGACAACAGAGCTGCTTCATGGAAGAAGAACCTCAGATTAGCCTGTTAGCTTTAGCGTTAGCCCTGATGCTATCACCATATTTATGTATTAGCTCAGCGCTACACATTCTCCTCTCGTCACTGAGGTCCTCCATCCACATGACAGAGAGGGGAACACAAAAATGACTCAGTCTGCAACTGAAAATATGGATGGAGGACCTCAGTTTAGCTTGCTTGCCGCGCTAGCGCTGAGCTAATACATATAATGTAATATAATGTCGGCGCTAGCGCAAAGGTTAACAGGCTAAGCTGAGGTTCTTCTTCCATGAAGCAGCTCTGTTGTCCTCCATCCATATTTTCAGTTACAGGCTGAGTCATTTCTACCTTCTCCTCTCTGTCAACGCTCTCTGGTTTCATTTAAAAGAGTCGATCATCAGATATTGTCCAAGATTAACCTTCAGGGTGGAGATAGCTCGCTCAAACCGATGATCTGTCCATGTCATAATTTACCCAGAATGCTTTGCGTGTAAATAAAATGGCTCCATCTGTGTTAAAATATATTTTTTAAAATTATAAAAACTAAATATCTTACAATATTTTTACAGTCTTTATTTTACAGTTAAAATATACGTTTATCAAGTAAAGTATAATGTTACAACTAATCATGGATCCCTAAAAGGATATCAAAATATATTTGAACTTAAACCTTTCAACTTTGCTGATTACATGATTATTTGAATAAATGCAACTAAAAAGATACAAAATCTTTGAAGTATTTTTAATTTATGGTTATGGTTATAAAAGTTGCATCACCTAGTGATGAGATTTACCTTATGTGTCAAGATTTATTTATTTATTTTTTTAAGGAAAAGACTTTTGCTACAAAGCACAGTGGACTAACAGCTCCTGTCTGATTTTAGAGGTTTGTATTAAACATTTTATTAAAACTGTGATCTTTTAACTCAGTGGGGACAAACTCCTGATTGACGGTAGGGGTGCTCCGATCCGATACTGATATCAGATATCAGTCTGATATCAGCCAAAAAATGAGTATCGTATTTTATCGGCCTGCATAAAAAATGTCAGATAAAAATGCTCTGATATAAGCAGTCCGTTCCAGCAGTCCACTGACTCCACTCCAGCTTCTCTGTCCAGCAGCGCTTGGATCCAGTATGCAGAGCCCACGTGATCACAACAACATGCTGCGATAACAAGTTAGCAAGAATGTCGGCAGTACTTTCTATGGCTGTGTCCAAAACGACAGGCCGGGTCTTCCGGAGGACCCAGACTACCCGGTCTCGGCGGACCGGGTCCTTGGTAGACCGGGAAGACCGGAAAAAAAGAGGCTGTGAATTTGGACGGTCTAGCCTCCCCTCCTTACCCCGGCGTACGTCTTGTCACCTAGCAACTGTGACGACGCTAAACAAGCAAACTTAAATCAAAACTAGAAAAATATCAATACATTAGCATGATTAATATCACAAAAGTATAAAATTAACTTAAAAGTATCATTTGAAGAACTAATTGACCCGCTGTAGGTTCATGTTTATTTCGCGTTTTTATGACGAAAAAATAATATGTAAAAACATGTCCATACAAATGATAAAAGTATTAGAAATACAACCGCTATTTTTTTTTTATTTTTATATCACCATATTTTTATTTAAAATGTATTCTTTTCTCTCGCTTCGTCCGCCATTACTAGCATAAAAAAATCTCCGGTCGGGCCGCAATGCATTATGGGATACGCTGGGCCGGGAAGGATCCATCGGACCTGTCCTTCGATTCGGGCAATAAGAAGGACGTATTTGTCGGCCGCATCGGAGGAGTCTTCGGTTTTGGACGTCCTTCGTTGCGGTGCTGTGACGTATGCAGCCGACGAATTCGACCTTCGGAGGACCCGTCCTGCCGTTTTGGACACAGCCTATTTTCATCAAAAACAGAGTTGAAGCTAAGTGCAAAACCGTCACACACAAGTTTTCCGTGGGGACACAGATCCGTGAACGTTTTAAACCGGAGCAACAACCACTCTCTACCCTGGCAGATTGCACTCTCTTGCGTTTCCTACACATGCTTCTTGGAGTTCCTCCATGCTTCACACCAGAGCGGACTGGACGCAGTATAAATTGGGGTGCGAGTAGCGGCAAACTGTGCAGGGGAACTGCTTATAGTGTAAATTAGGGGTGAGACCTGGTTTCAAAACATGCTGGTGTCAGATTCCAATCAACAGTGACGTGCGAGTGGCTGGATCGCAACAAAAAAGTTGCAGTGTCACTAAAAAACCAGCTCCATGTAAATGGTGCCGAAGCCTCCCCTTCGATAGTGACGGTCGTCGAGAGCTCGTGGTTTTGTTGTGTGTGTAAACATACTGTGTTATTGTGGGAATGCTTGCGATTATTAAAAAGTTTGTTAAAGATTAAAAAACAAAATCCAACGCACTTTAAATGTTCAAAATTGGGCAAACTAGTTTTCTCTCTACTCTTTCTACTCTCGTGACCAGTTGTACCTTATTTTGACAAAAATAATGGAGAAAAATCCGTAAAACTCATGAAAATGGTTTTACTGACTGACAAACATAGATATAAAAAGAAACAGAAGTATTTACCCCATTGGTTGAATCACTGAATCGTGGAATTGACCAAACAAATTGTGATCCAGTATAAAACGGCTGAATCTCACAGTATTAACTCATTTGGGTGAGTTTGAGGTATTGTGGCCGCTCCTTTTACCTGCTAACAGGTACGCGGGATGAGCTCCCCTCTCAACAGGAAGAGAGAGAGGGAGAAAAAGGAACCTACGATGCACGCCGAAAAGACATACTAAAAGAGCAACGTCCTCCAAAAATATGAAGCAGTCTTAGGGTAACATTTAGGACAGAACAATGTCATGTCCCAGTGGTTCTTTATTTACCTGAAGAAGAACTTACCTGTAAGTTTTGTCAGCACATGATGAGC